TTCTTTTTTGTTTTGTCGAAAAGGCATTCCACTCGACTTACCTTAAATGCTAGCATATTTAAGTATTATTTTATTATTTTTAAACCAACAACAACTCAATTTTTATTATTTTTGTTTTAAAAAAAACATAAATAAAGCAATAAATTTTGGCACATTAGGTGCAAGGAAAATATTGACAGTATATTAAATTACCAAATCAACCATCAAATTAAAATTTAATATTTTAAATTTAACGTTTTATTTGAAAATGCTCTTATTTTGCAATACATCAACGACTAAGAGCTATTTATGCACAGAACCAGATGATGGTTGATTTAACCTTTTTTTTTTTTTAATTTTTTTTTTAGGGAATCTTGGTTGATTTAACTTTTGGTCAAGAGAAGGTCATTGTTGGTAATCCACAGTGAAACGTTATAGGTAGGTGGGACCGGGGGCAAGTTAATGAGCTGAATTACGGTTACATTTTTTCAGAGAAGTTGACGGGGCATTTAATTACATTACTTGTCCTTCCCTTTTTTTTTTTTGGCGAGGGGGAAAGTTGAGAGAATATGTAATGCCAGTGGGGGCTGCCCAAGTGAAGAGAGTGGCAGTGGGAGGTAAATAAGTGGAAAGAGGGGGGACCAAAGTGGTAAAAAGGGTGGGTAAAAATGTCAAAGAAAGGGAAGGCACGTGCGGGTGTTTAATTAGAGCTTTCGGCTTCTGCTTTGCACTATATATTCCCACTTCCCACTTCCCGGTTTCCCACCACCAGCATGACATTCCATCCCCTTCCCCACGAAATCCGATTCCCCTCCTCCAACTTTTTTCAAAAATAACTTTTTTAAAAAACGCAAAAACCAATCCAATCCAATCCTTTTTTTTTTTCAATTTTTAAAAACGTAAAAACAAATCCAATCCAATCCCATTTTTTTCTGAAACGAAAACCAACTATCGTCGTCTGAGCTAGCTGTTGTTTCGTTTTCAAATTCACAAGATAAGAATCTTCAAAAGCCAAAACTCTCTCTCTCTCTCTCTCAAAATCTTTGTGTTGTTGGATGCATTTGCCAGCCTAAAAACGAAGAAATTTTTCCAAGTAACCCGAATACGGATGGTACATTACGTACTACGTGTTTTTATATAAGTGGTGATAAATTATATTTTTTAAATTATTAACCTTTTAACATACATATCACATTATTTGTATAATGACACGTAGTATAATATCCCGTATTTTAATCACATTGAAAAATCTTCCCTAAAAATGAGGGGGTAGGGAGGCTTCAGGCTTTGAACTTTTTGATTTTTCTGTAGAAAATAGATAAGGGTCGAAATTTTTGGGTTTTTGAAATTGCTTTTTATTGGTACGAAAAGTTTGCATGATGTCATTTGAACTAGGGTTTATGATGGACAGATATACATATACTCTGTGATTGCTTCGTTGCTTGTGCTTACGACCAAAAACAAAACAAAAAAACACAGTTTCATCACAAGACAATTGACATGGCAATTATATCGGTACGTTATTTACTATTGACATATCTTTCGTGCGTATTGATTATAATACAGATACTTTGATTATGTAATTATCGATACGCTTGTTAGGTGGGCAAATAAGACACATAATCAAGTTGTTTAACTTAAATATTTCTTAATCAACAACGTAATTGTAATTCATAAAATTTAAAATCATAAGAAAGTGGCTACAACCATCCCAAATAATCACTTGCATTACCAGTTAGAATGTAAAATCACTACTTAAAATGCCCTGATAGTAATCTCAACATTTTTTTCATATGAGAATTAGATGGACATGCAATTTTTGGATAGTATAATTTTTTAAAAGACAGAGGCGAAGCCAAGGCATTTTATCGATAATTCCGGCTAACCCAAAGGCTTGAGGTGTTAGGCAAAGCCCACATGATGTAAATAATTGGGGACTGTTATGGGTTATAAAAAAGATTACAAGAATTGCTCAAAACGACTTTGTTTCGGGCCAAAAATTTTCTTCTTCTTCGCGATCGTCTTTTTCATGAAGACACTGCTGCTGCAACAGAAAAAAACAGGAGGGCAGAGCTTTAGAAGCCCAACCTTACTTCGAGGGGTGCTCAAAAAATTTCAAGCAAGGATTTCGACCGCCATAGCAGGCCCTAAGGAGCTCCTTGATCACGTCTAGGCGAGTTTTCACCTACTCTCCCTAGGCAGAGATTTTCCACCCCGGTCCCACCTCCGAAGCCACCTAAGTACTCATCGAGGTGCGTTTTTTAAAACACTGGTATAATGAAAAAATTATCTGATAATTTGGAACAGTGAAGCATAAGATAAATTATTATGCATGTTTATTATATGAACATATATATATATATATATTATTTTATAAGTTGCATGCGTTGGTCAAAGCATGTGTGTCTCAGTGTCTGTGTCTCTAACAACAGATGTTGTTCCCCTCTTGTAAAGCAAATTAATTAAATAATCATCTTTGATCCCCTTTTTAATATTTTTCGAATTTGGAATAACTTGTTTACCTCCCAAACCCCACCATCAAATCAAATCTTGTAATTTGGCCTTGTTCTTGCTGCACCCCACTCTAATTACTTGACCTTATTCTTTATCTTCTGTTTTTTTTCCTCAAATTTTAGTGGCTCGATTAAGAAAAGAGCAACTTACACGATAATGGTGCACTATTATTGTGATATTTTGTGTCGCTCATACAATGTTATTATATAAAACAATTAACGCATGATAACAATGTATTACTAACACAAAACATTATATATAGCAGCGATGTACATGTGCCATATCAAAAAGACTTTTTAGTGTATTTGGTACAAATAACGGATCAAGGATTCAAATCTTGGGTGGTCCCAGTGTTAAAAATCCAAGTATTTTAGATAAAAACAAAGCATGAAGCACGCAATTTTTTTTTTCTTCAGTTTTTCATTGTGGCATTTCATTGAACATTTGATGAGTGATATTGAGAGAATTTGTCGAGTGTTATCTATGTAACATGTCAAGATATGCCTAACTTGTGTTATATCAATCACTTAGTAGGTACAAAGGTATCTGTACAAAACATTCGGCGGGTTCACATGTATATTTTCTGAACTTTGATGATCTTGAGACCACCTAGGTCCCAATGTAGATTTATTTTTGCTCGACACATAAGCTAGTATATTACGTATTATAATAAAATAAAGAGACATTAAAATATATATCAATCTCTTCACTTGTATAATAATATTTTGTATATCGGCTTATGTTCGTACATAAGAGCAATGACTTGCCCTTTCGTGCGTAGTAATCTACGGCAACAGCTATCATGAGTGATTTGCCCAAGAAAGAAAATATCACCAAATATTTAAGGGAATAAAGTGAGGTGAGCTCATGAGTTGCTGAGGGTTTTGCAGATGACTCTGGCCGCACATATTTCTTTCCCTTTCTGCGACTGACTTGTCACTGTCTTGGTCTCCCTCTCAGTTAATCAACAAGGACACCACCATTCAGCAACAATAACTCTTTCACTCTCTCACTCATCATCATTCATTTTTGTTCTCATACTCTCTTCTAATGTAAATAATATCGTTGGTTAAAAAAAATATATATAGAGTTATGCAACTTCAAGTTTGGATATAGTAGGAGGCGAGAGGTTAGAGAAGTATGTACGAGCAGCATGTACTTTGTTATCCATAAAATTTTGATTGAAAATTAAACCTTGACATAAGAACCATTTGTTAAATGTTGGAGGATTATGCCACTAGTGTTACAGTCTAACAATATTCGTTTTCACTTGTAGATGGAAGATCAGGTTCAACTCAGTATGAATAATAAGTTCAATGTCTAATTATTAGGATTCCCATGTGTGACTTATTTCAAATTTCTACAATGTTTTTTTCTTTTCAAAAAATGACAAATGGTGGCAAGTCACGGTTATTAACTCATTTGGAGGGTCGGAATATCACAGAGGCATTTCAGCCTCTTCCTGGCCACAGTCAAGCAAACTCACCAGCTTGGAGCCTCGAACCCAAAACCTCCCGATTTTTTGTATTTTAAAAGTCAGAATCCGTGCTGTTACCACTGGATCACTTTCTGTAGTTCAATTGTCTATAACATTGGATCAACAAACAATCAAAATGACGGAGGACTATGGACTCGTAATAGGCTAAGTAGGCATGGGCCAGTTTAGCATGAAGTCCATAGCCAAACTCATAGAAAAGCCCAAATTTCTACGGAAGACAGGTTGCCCACCAAATTAGGCGGCATCACTTCAGATTCTGCCAGAAAAAAAGCTCCTTTTAGAATTTCTGGCAGTCGTAGGATGTAGGTGATGTTATCGGTTTAAAAGCCGATTCTATTTGTTTTGCAGCTTTAACACGACGTTTGATAAAGTTTAAAAATTCAAGTCAGAAAATTTTAAATCATACAAAAAAATAATTTTTCTCTTTTAACAGTTGGTTACCACTTAAAAACTTTGCCAGAGATTATTAAAGAAATAAATTTTTCTTTATGTAAACTATTCTAATTTATTTTTATAAAAAATTTAACATAATAATATCCAAACTTCGATAAATAATGAAAAATCGCACAACGTAGGTTTTATAGAGTTTTTTGGGTAAAATTTGAGTTAGATAAAAAAATTTAATTGTTTTAGCCGTTAAACTTTGGGCTGTTGAATGATTTTTTTACAATCAGATTTGATATCATGTAATCACAAGATTCACAACCATTAAATTATACGTAAAATAAAAAAAAAAAAAAAAAAATAGAAATATGACCGTTGGCCAACAAATCGAACGGTCATATTATTTGGACTGTTGATCAACCAAGAGCCATGTAGTGGCAAAATGGCTGTCTACATGGGCTCCTTTTAGAGGTATCTAGCCCAAAAAATTGTTTTCCCTTGGCTTATTTTTGCCCAATGACCGAAAATGGTTTGGGAGGGGTTTAAAGCTTTAAACTTTGAGCTTCATCCCAACCATCATTACAAATGATCTAAGGAAAAGATAGTCATGTCAATCAGTGGCAAATGAAGGCTCTAACTTTTGCTTTTGCTATCTTGCATTGAACTATTGAAGCGGAGAAATAATCAGGTGTCAGTGCATACAATTTAATGAACAGGAGGTACATCAGAAGAATTTGTACCTTTCATTCCGTATCTTTATCGGGTCCAATATACATGGTGCAACTAACAGAAACCAAAATAAGCACACAACCGATAATTCGACCAAAAGATAGAGCTATCCTCGACGATCCAATGCCCCATAATTGTGACAGTGCAGCCTGAAACAAAGAAAAACATGAACGCATTTTGTATGGTTAAAAATTTGTATGTTTGGATGAATCGTAGCAATTGATCTTGTTTGTTTATCTGATTAAATACAGTCATCGATGTCACTTTGCAGATTTCCTAATTGTTTACTGCATCTCATTACTATTCACACCGATTAATAATCAAATCAAGCGGAGCGGTAATGGCATCTGAACAGGAAACGTACCTCCATGTATATAACATTTGCAACTTTGCCAGTTTTCTCAAGCTGCAGTCCACGTGCTAAGAACACCTGAAATCGAGCACAATAGGTTGAGAAGTCCATAACTACTTGAGCATTATGGGAGAACTAGAAGTCTACAAATGAGAGCAGCACAATTGAAAAAAAACAGAGAAAATAGTTCCGAACCACACCTCTGCAAAAAAGGCCAGGACACTGAGTACAAGCATAACTGAAAATGAATATAAATTTGGGAAAACATACTCCTGAAAAAAGGATGGGTAAATATTTAGCACAACCTAAAAAGTGTATAACATGTAAAAATAATAACCTGAAAGCACTGAAGCTAAATGTGACTCTCAGCGACGACGAAATCCAAGCATTAGGTAGATGATTTAAAGTTGCTGGGCAATCAGTGATACATTAAAAATGGAATATGGTAAACTTGAAATAATAATAGAACAACGCACAGCATTGCAACCATGACGTCAACTGACCTCAACGGCAAACAAACAAAATCCTGCAGCAGGACTAGCCAGCAAACCAAATGAAAATACGGTCAACCTGAAAATTGGACAGAGTATTTACTTAGATAACTTTACCACATAAAACTATTTCCAAAATTTCAAAGATAACACTTGGATGCAATAAATATGTTTTGCTTACCCCTGTATTATGTACATATTTGGTAAACATATTATGTACATTTAAGAGAAGCAACACAATAACATATAATCTCTTAGATGTTTTTTATTTTTTTTTCTAGCATGGATAATCATGGAACCTAAACAGTTATAGACTTCTTAAATAAAGGTTATCCTCTTTGTATAAAATGCAATTTTCCAGTGTCAAAAGTTTGGCAGACAAAAGAGAAAGAGCACATTATCATCGATTTCATAATTTCTTGAAGTTTGTAGAATTAATCGAGTCAAGGATAATTGAAGGCGGAGGGAATAATTTATATTCATTTTTATGCAGGTTATAGTTACAAATAAGCAATCAGTAATCTTACAGTGGCTGATCAGATGCCTTTGATCCAGCCTTTGTAAGGCAGTAGCTGATTCCACCAGTTATGGATGAGAGTAAACCGGCCAAGACTGCAAAGATATAGCTGCTTCCCCTTACACTTGTATTCTTTCCTCCATTTTTATCTAATCCTCATGCATAATTCAAAAGTTAGTATTCCACAATTCTTGGAAGAGAAATAGGAAACACGCAAAATGTACATTATTGCATGCAATGGGCCCCATTTGAGGATTAGATTTTGTAACATTAAAACTTCTTTTGTCAACAATATAGGAGTGAGACACAAAACGCAGATACACTTTCTTCCTCATTTGTAAGACAGTATACGTGCCCTTGGCGGACTGCTATCTCAGAGTAGTTTTCTTTCACTAAAGTGAAAAGACATGATAAGCCGTGCCACACCATATACACAATACATCCATGTGACGCTCAAATTTTTGTTCACTTTTAGACAGAGACCAGAAGAGTTTGTTTAAACTCTTACTACACATCAAAATCATCCACATCCAGTATGTAATATAAGATTATGTTAACTCACTTCTGTACCTTGTGTGGTAAGCATTTGTCGGTAAATGAAGAGCACACCAAAGAAACTGCACGCAAGACCTGGAAAATGAATGACAATCAACAAAGACTTCACTCCTTGACTATCAAAAGGTAGCCTAAGAAACTTTTCCAGAAGCTAAAACCTTAAAAAAAAGACAGATATGCAACATTATGTTCAAACTAGAGTGAGAAGCAATGATTATAATCATTATATACTACATACCTCCAACATCTGCAATCTTATACTTCTCATGTAGAATGATTCTTGCCACAACTGAAGCCATAATTGGAGTTGTGAAGCTCAATACAATAGCCTGAGACAAAGGTAACCTTTGAATGCTGAAATAAAAAAATGAGCCAACTTCTGGTTATTTCTGTGGTGCTTACCCATTACAGAATCAGGTTTAAAAGGGCACAGCCCACAAGCTGCCTGAAAAGCATTTCAAACATACTGTAGAGCACATGAAGAACACTCGACAGATAAACAAACTTAAAGACATAAGTTAGCCAGATACTTGGATGCTCTAAAACGACAGCTTTTCCATCGGAGCCAACAGCTGAATTACTATTTGATCTGGTTGGGTCCTAGACTCCTACACTATCCTAACTCTATGCTCTTATAAGAGATCGTATATTTATTTCTAACTCTATGCTCTTATATGATAAATATTAATCATATATTTATTTCTAAATATAGCCTCATATGGGTAAAAAGAACATATCATTTGCATACAGGCAGAATACAGTATGGAAATTGTTTATGTCCACAAGGCAGGTATCATGCCATGAACACATTGAAACCAGAGAATGAGTAAATACTCCTAACAAAGAAACAAGAAAAATCATACAAGGTTACTTACCAATAAATGAAACACATCAATGAGATATACCCCGTAAGGGCTCTGGAAATCAAAAGATTTTTTACAGTTGCCAATCCAGATACTGGCTGTCCACACTTTCTCAACCACACAAATGACAATACCAAGATAATCGTACACCTTGTAAATGCTGCCTCAAGCAAGGGAATGGACTGAACTGCCATAATAAAACAAAAACATAATATATAATGGAAAAGGGCGAAAGAGAGAGAAAACATAGAGCGGAAAAAGGTTCTGTGCATAATATGCCATGTAACTTGCAATTCAGTGATGAATAGAATGCAGAAGTTACTAACCAGAAAAAACATCAGCAAAAACTTCCATGACAAAGTAGATGGTACATGAGATAGCCGTACACAATAGACCGGAGTATCTCGATCCACTCCATACCCACGAAATAAATTGAGCTACTGAGGATGTCTCCATTTCAAGTGGTTTCCGTACCTGATCCTATACACGGATACACAATATTAACTATCAATCAAATCAACCAAAAACCACCATTGCAGAATTCATATACTTTACTTTCCCTTCTACATTTCCCTCCAAAATGACAACACAATCACTAGGCTATTAAGACAGAACCAAAACCGATGAATTGCTCCCATCCACTGAGGCATTAAACTACATAACCACCATCACCAGCATTTTCAAAATTTCACTGCTTTGGTTCCTGAACTAAAGTTTAACTCCTTTTGGATTTGGAGTACTAGAAAACAGAACAAAATTTCAAAAAAAAAAAAAAAAAAGAAAAGTCAATCATAGTTTCACTTCCCCCAATTTTCACAACCACCAAACCGGCAACATATCAAAACCCTAGAAATATTATCATCTTCATACATTTAAAATTCCTCTAACCAACAAAATTCGAGGAAAAGAATTCAAATTTTGGATCAAATTGAAGTGAGGGAATCGTATTAGTACCTTAGATGTTCCTCGAGGATAAGAGAGGGTGAAAATGTTGATTTTGGGCTTCTCCGGCTGCATCAAGAGCGGGGCTATATCGTCCGCGACGGCCGCGCCACCGTCATCCCCCGATGCAGATGGGTCGTGCACGATAAGCTCCACCTCGTGCTCTCCGTCGCTGGTCTCCGCCGACGACGACATTTGCGCGCATCCGAAATCTCCAGAACCCTAGAAAATTTTGGCGCCTTCAATGCCGACGAAAATTCACTCTCTCCCGGACGGAGAAGAACTGCCGAATGCTAAAGTCTTATGCAGTGTGCGTTCGTTCGTTGGAAAGCGACGCGTAAACGGTCAAGTTGGTGGCAACGTACACGTGGCACGACCTGGGTGGGGCCCAGTGGGGGAGCTGAACTCTCACGCTGTCTTGGAGTTATCGACAGCTGGAATTTTCCCGGGCAATTTGGAGTTCTCGTCCGCCATCAGCTTCTTTTTTCTTTAATTAATATTAGAGCATCCATTTTAGAAAGGTTCTTTTTAAAGTTAATATCGTGTTTATACTTTATAAACGCTAATCTCAAATTTAATATTCTTTTATGCGACGAATTGGTAGTGCCACTTTTTTAACACAAGTTTTCGTGGAACTCTGTTTCGACGATCTAAACCGTTTATCTTTTAAAACATCATCATTAGTACATTATCTTTATATTAAAAAAAAAAAAAAAAAAAGACAAATCGAACCCCACTAAAATAATTATTTGTAATGAAAAAACTGAATAAATACGGTTCAACAAATAAACTCTAAGCACTTGATCCAATGCGGTTTTAAATTTTAGTGATTTTTGGTAGATATGATATTTGAGAAAAAACCTAAAAGATAGACGGATCGGATCGTTAAAATACATTACAGAGTGGGTCCCACAAAAACTCATGTAGAAAAAGTGGTGTTGCAAATCCGTCCCTTCTTTTATAAGGACTATATTCTACAATACTTCAAATTAGGAACTCAAACTCGAGATCAAAGAGATAAACATATTGACCTAATATCAAGCCCAGCTCATATATGCATATACTCGATCGTGAACAAATTTAAAGAGGGGGCTTATCAAATCAAACTCATTTCGGTACCTTCATTCTTCAATCAACAAATGAATAAAAATTAGAAATTAGGATATTTTCCTACATTAATTCAACATTATAACTCACGAGATGTGATGCCTTCTTAGTTTCAAGACCATGTTTAAGAATCAAGACAACGACTTTTTCTCCAATTCATGTCCAACTTTCTGCTAATTACACCTTTCACTTTCTTAGGGATGCTGGTTGTCTGTGCAAGTGGTATATCCACTTCAATTCAAAACGTCAATATGGAAACCATGAAAACTTGACCTCCAATCAACACCAAACCAAAATTTTGGACTAAGGGTTGGTTTGGTATTACTGTACTTTGAAAAAAAGTTGTTTCTGTTGTGCTATGAGAATAAGTGGCTGTGAAATAAAACAGCAGAGTGTTTGGTAAACTTTTTTCTAAAAGTGATTTTGAAAAAAAAAAAAAAAAAAACAGTATTATAGTGTTTGGTAAACTTTTATGTACAACATATGTGAAAAAAAGCCGGTTTTTCAAAGCTGGGTTTTGCAGCTTCTTGTTTTTAGTTTTTTTTCACCTAAAACTGTGAAAAAAAGCTGAAGTTGAATGTTTACCAAACACAAAAACAGCTTCCAGCTTTTTTCGAAATCATCTCAGTACCAAATCAGACCTAAATAATTAAAAGCGTAACAAGTATTCACCGTACATAACTTGGTAGGAATCGAACAAGAGTGAAATCAAGTAAAACGACCAGCTTTAACGGCATGTAAATCTTCATCGTGGAAACTTCAACGTAATCTATTATCTACCACGGCACTTCAATCCTCTGTACATAAATACACACACATTTGATTGATACTGTTCCGCGCTTGTTATTCAAACTCAAAAATGTACGCACAGGAGACATCCCGCTCTCAAATTCTCAAGCACTGTATGCATGGTAATATTCTAATTGTCTCTACAAGCATTAAATCAAGTACAAAGCACAAAGCTCCGACTCCGTGAGCTGCTTCTTCGCCGCCGAAACTTTATACTTGTTAAGGCGGAGCCGGACACCGAAGCATCCGAAATAGAACGATTTCGGTTTCGGAAAATTATGACACACGAGTTTCGGGTTCGGACCGGTGGTGAAGATGAACCAGACGGACGGGCTGGTGATGTACGGTGGTAGCCACCCACATCGGATCACAGTGAGCAGAGACTCAGAGGATCATCAAGATGATTTGAGAAGAAAGGAGATTCTTAGTGACACGTGTTCTGCACGTGATTTTCAATCGGACAAAGTCGGGGGCGGGACCCATAACGGAATAGGATAATTGGGGACCCGCCGTCGCAATTCAAGTGTTTTGTCACTTTTGTGTAGCCTTTCAATTGGGTCCCAAGCCCTAGTTGGGCCGGAGTCCTTACTTGGATCGATGTGATCATATGGACCAAAATTGCACTAACCCAACAGCAGCTAGATATCATATCAATTGATTGAATTACGATACGTGTTAGGGTTAACCAACTAGGGAATATTTTTCCTCATCATCCTCAAATGATATGATATTTATCACTCTATTTGTAACCGTTTGATGAATTTAAATTTTAAAATTTGTGTAGTAGATAGACACAAATTTCAATATTTAAATTCATCTAATGGTAATAAGTAGGGTGATGAGCATTACTATCACTTGAGAATGATGAACAAAAATGCACTCTAACTGAGTCTGGCAACGTGCGATTATAACTGGATATGACATATAAAGTGATTGGTTGTACAGAGCATAACCCAAGAGTAAGAAATTCATTACCACCTCAAGGCTTTACTATACTTGATATTGTAATGACATTAAGGTCTCGTTTGATAGAGAGAATTAGTTTAGATAAGATTATTCACTATATTAAAGGCATTTTGACAGAGAAATGAATGACAACTCTATTTTGTCCAAATTAAAAATTACTTATGAAAATTTTTCACTCAGTCATGATCATGCACATTTGAAACGAGAAAATGTATTTTTACCCATGAAAAACAAAAACAAGTGAAAAAATTCTTGACTTTGCGTTTCAATACTTTTGGTGGGAAGCTTCGTTTTTCTTGCGCCGAGGTCGAAATCAAATTTTGATCACTGTTTACGTAAATTCCCCTCGCTGTCGGCGAGGGAACATGCCCAGGTCCACAGCCAGTCGGTGCTTCCATTTGACCGGCTCCGCCGGTTTTGCCTTTTCACCAGTCCGGTCACAACGCAAGCAGAGGAGCCTAACCTGGGCAGGCTTGTATGGTCAACTCACGTGGAGGTTGGTGGCACCGACAACATATTTAGGCAGTCAAAACGGGGTATCGTCACTGTAGGCAAATTAGGCATTAGCTGCAGCACTACCCGACTTCCCGAATTCCTCTTCTTTTAAGGAACACTAGCCTTCGTGTGCACGCATGCACGTGCTCACGCGAGTACGGAAGATATTTTTTTAATCACGGCGTGTTACTTACGATTTATATATTTTAAATGTATTTATATGCATAAATTGACAAAAAAAAAGTCAAATATTTGAAGTAAATGAATAATTTTAGATCATGTTAGAAGAAATCTCCCATAAACCAATTAAAGCAGCTAAATTCACATAATAAAATCGATCTCTAAAAAATTTATATTAAGAATAGAGAAAATAATATTTAATAAATAATTAATTGAATCATATTATTACTAACTTATTGTGAGACTAAGCCCACCATCTATCCCCTAGTGTAGATAATACGTTTATTAAAAAAAAAAATCATTTGACAAATAATTTAATTACAATATTATCCGTGTGCAACAGACCTTTTTTATAACGGTATTACAAGCCTCTTAAGATATTTTAAACGTGTTGATATTTAATAAATAACTGATTGAATCACATTATTACTAGCCCATTCTGAGGCTAAGCCCACCCCCTCCTGTAGATAATATTGTTTGTTAAAAAAAAAAAAATAGTTTGATAACTTATTTAATTACATTGTTATCCGGGTGCTAAAAACTTTTTTTTATAACCGGCATTACATGTCTCTTAAAATGTTTGGAACGTGTTTAGAAATAAAGAAATTGAATCACATTATTGATAGCTTATTTGATGTATTATTTTGGAATGCCCTTGAAGTTTTTTGTTTTGGAGACATTTTTGTTCAAATTTTTTTGTTCAAGCATGGTGACACTAAATCACTATTCACCTTTTCCATTCTCTTTATATATAATAGATGACCACTTATTTGTCGTTTTGATGAGATTTTTGTGTAATCACTTTCTTAATTTTGTTATCATTTGTTAAGCTTTTTACTAACGCCATGATTATGATATGATGTGGGATTACTGTGCAAGGCCACCACACCATCATTCTTGATTGATTGTTGTAATCAAGAACAAAATCAAAGGTTTGTGGCCTTTGTTTTCTTATTGTTTGAATGTAGTTTCTCTATAGTTCGTGTCCCTTGATTAATTCAATTTGGTTTTGATGTGTTATCATACTGTTAATCTAAATTGTTAAGTATACAAGTCATTGTTCGCTTGACAATAACTACCTCTTGTAATTGAGAGAAACTTCTTATTAGGATGACATTGTTCGGTCATTTGTTTTTATCTCTCTTTCCATGACCTTTGTTGTTTTTCGAATTTAGATAGAACGATGCTGAAATAGTAATTTACAAGACATGGTGACAACTTGGCACTCCTATCTCCAAGAGACCAAGAGGTCCAAATTATTTGTGTATTACCCATCTTCCAAAACCACACAAACCCTACCCATAATCTATGACCATACGATTGTTCTTTTTCTCGTTGCCATACAAAATTAACTACTCTATTATGTAGCGTAGATTCACAGTCTAAAAATATGAGTATCTTTCATGTAGGATCTTCAGAGAATCTTGTGTTGCCTACTAGTGTCATAAGAATATTACATTTTATCTTATGTTGCTAGATAGGGTTGGAAAAATATTGTTGTTTCTCTATAAGAAATCTTAAGTAGGATGTTTGAACATGTCATCTATATATGATGCCTCTCACAAAAGCGTAGGATTTCCTATATTTTAGTCTCATTTGAATTTTAAACTTATAGTGATTACATCTAGCATGAAAACCGTTCTAATCAGAAAATCGTTCCTGAAAATTTCTCCATACGGGACAAAAAAGAGAGTAAAGCCTCTGCAAAGATCACTCTCATGTGAAAATCACATGCACAAAGACACCTATGACCTATCAAAGCCTAAACACCAATTTAGTACCAGATAGATAGTACTGACAAACTATGTTTTCAAAGTGAGAAAGCGAGCTGGCTGGCTTTTCCCATTCTTCCCTTCGCTTCTTGGAGAAAGAGAAAAAAACACTTCCATAGGAGGGAAGAAAGACTGAACAATGGAGGAGAAGAAGAAGAAGACACAATGGCA